TCTTTGCTGACCCTGCAGCTTTACTCAAATATTCCGCTTGGCTTCTGCAATTCCTTTAGTTCTGGGTGAGCTGTGTCCAAGTAGCCAACAACATTTGGCCTCTGGCAAGATGTAGGTGATGAAGACAGCCCCTGTTTCTTTCCAGCTGCAAAGTTACTGTGGATGTAGCAGTGAGCTGGTCCCTGGGCTGGGACTATGGCCTTGCTTGGTTTCCCAAAACCACTAGCCTGGCTGGARAATTGAGTACAAAGGGTTAAGTAACTCTAACTCTAGGCTGGGCTCCTACCTGCCTATGGGTCAGGGTCAGGGAGATTTCCCACTAGAAACAGTTGGTTGGGTACACAGGCTGCCCTCGGGTAAAAAAGGGCCATGTCTGAGGTTTCAAGGTTTGAGTCCCACATGAGATTGAGTGTTTTTGACCTCTTTGGGGACTTTTTTTTGGGGGCTTTTCTGGACCTTGGGGAACTTCCAGGCCCTGCATCAGAGATACCTGGTAAAAGGCCATGGAGGGAGAGATGCTTCTGGAATCAGTGCTTAAGCACTCAGCTAAGTCGCTAGTCCAGAATATTTGTGGGGCGTGGGATGCAAGAACTGAATCCCCAAATCAGCACCAGACTAGGGATCCCAGAGACCTTTTCATAAGTGTGATGCCAAGTGGCCAGTGACTCCCCATCCTAGAGCCAGAGAAGATGATGATCTTGATTCCCAGGTTTCCCAGAAGACCCTGGGCTAGTTCCCAGCCCCAGACCAGACCCTATTTCAAGAGCATCTCTGTGACCAAGATCACTCAGGCAGATGGGGTAATGAAGGAGCACGGACAGGTGGACAGTGAAGGCTGCGAGGGACCACAGTAACCTTTCAAGGAGCAGACAGCAATCCTAGAGATGATCCAGTGTCACCAGGACTTCCAGCCCTGGATGAGGTCTTTCCAATCTGGTTTTATTCCTGGGACGTTGGTTCCAGTCCTGGTAGCCTGGTTAACCTCAGGGGCCTTCAGATCCTTTCCATTTCCCACCCATTGCCCACCATCAGTATGCTTAGCTTCTTCTCTTGCCATCTCAGGGGCTTGGTATATGGAACAGTGATTTGGAGGTATGTTGGTCTGCCACTACTCAGACTGACCAATAAAAGCTTTATTCATGGTAAAAAGAAAATAAATAGCTATTTGGAGCGCTTTTTCCTTCCAGCCCAGTTCCTGGGATAGGAAGTGAAAGGGTTCACACATTTGTGTCTTAGGAGCACCTGATCCATGACTTACATGAGACCATCTAAATCTGCTTTTCTCGTACCTTCCTGGGCACTCCCCCTTGATCTCCATCATACCTCCCTCCTTCAACTAGCTTCACCCTAGGCCTTTAAAAAATCATTATTAATACTCTCTAGGAAATTTCATCCACTCCATACTATGAATATGCTAAAACTTAACAAATTTATGCACCATCTTGGTCAGGTTTTTCAGAGAAACCAACTGTGTGTATATATGAAATCTCTTTCCATCACCCATGTTTAGCTTCTTAGGACTGATGTAACAAATTGCCACAAGCTAAAAGTCTTAAAGTAAAAGAAATGTATTCTCTCATATTTTCTCATAGCCTCTCACACATAAATATATGAAGAGCTTTTTTAAAATAAGGTATTGATTGGCTCATGTCATTAGGTAGGCTGAGAAATCCAACTATTGGCTACCTGTAAACTGGAGACCCAGGAGAGCTGGTGACATATTTTGAAGGACTAAGAGTTTTGGAGCCAATAGTATAGATTCCAGTTTGGGTCTGAACACTTTTAAATCATTAGTGCTCTGCTCAAACAGTATGGCAGACAGAATTTGCCCTTTCTGAACCCTTCTGTTCTACTCAGACCCTCAATAGATTGGATAATGGGAAGGACCATCTCCTTTACTCCACCAATTCTAATGCTAATATCCAGAAATAACCTCACAGATACATTCAGAAATAATGTTTACCATTTATCTGGGTACCCCCATCACCCAGGCAAGTTGACCCATGAAATTAACCATCACCTATAGTGTCTCCAATCTCACTTCATCTTGAGGCCACATATTAAACTGTCCACTTGAACTCTCCTTGGGCACTTCCAAAATTCTTCAAACTCTGCAAATCACAACTGGGTTTTCTGCTTCACCCCAAGACTGGGTGTCCTTTAACATTCCCTGTCTCAGGAAATGATACCAGCACCTCTCCAGGTTCACAGCCAGGCACTCAGGGACCATCTATCTCAGTGCCTGTTTCCTTCATCTCTTATTTTAAGTCCTTTATGACTTCTGAATCCATCTAGTTCCTTCCATCTTTCCTACCACTACTCAAGTCCAGAGACTTAGATGAGTGCAATAATAATAAAAGCTAATAATTAAAGGCCTATTATATACCAGGCAGACACTTTTTAGAAACTTTACATCAATTATCTCTTCTAATCACCCTATGTATTAGTTCCCTAGGGCTGACACAGCAATTACCACAAACCAGATGACTTAAAATAACAGGAATCTCTTCTCCTGCAGCGTGGAAGGCTAAAAGTCGGGTCTGGTGTCATGGTGGGGTCCTCTCTGGGAGCCTGGACAGGTCCGTGCATTGCGTCGCTCTTCCCTTTGCTGGAGGCTCCAGGCAGTCTCCACTAGTGGCCGAGTCTCCACACTCTCCACCCTCACCTTCACATGACCTGCCACATATGTCTATTTCAATCTCCCGCCCTTTTCTCATACAGGTGCTTGTCTTTGGATTTAGAATCCCTCCAGTCAATCCAGGATAAACACTTCACCTTAAGATCCTGCAATTCATTACATGGGGTCTAGGGATTGACAGGGGGGTGTTTGGGGGAGCTTCCATGTAGCCTACTACTCTCTGTAAAGTCAGCATAGTTACTAGTCCCACAGGATTCAAGAGGCAACTGAGACTTATAGAGATTAAGGACTTGCCCAAGGTCACACGGTCAATAGGTGGGTTGTAGGCATAAGTCTCACATTTATTTCCACAAAGACAATTTTAATACTTTTCTGAAGAAAGTAAGAGTTTCAAGAAATTGTACACTTGGGTATTGAATATAAGTTCTTCAATCGCTCTATTACTAAACCCCTTGAGTATAAGATACCCAAGAAGTTGTACCTCTGGGAATCTTCTATGGATAAATTTGTCACATTTGACAAAGTTACTCATTGCCACATATCCTTTGTAATAAGAAAGCATTGGAGATGATCTTATTGCCCACCAGTAGGAGATGGCTAAATACATTATAAGTACAGCCACTCAATGTGTGGAGGGGCACATTGAGTGGCTGTACTATAGAACAAGGCATGTCTGCAGTTAATACCAAAGTATCATATACTTAAAATATACTAACAGAGTAATTTTAAGTCTTCTCACAAAAACAATAGAGAAATATATGAGGTGATGGCTAGGACAATTAGCTTGATTAGGCTGTCCTAACATCATCAAAACATCACATTTTGCATCTTAAATATATGCATTGTTTATCTGTCATTCATACCCCAATAGAGTTGGAACAGTAAAAAAAAAAAAAAAGTCAAATAAGATATGTCTATTTCAATACGGAAGAAGTTAACTCCAGGTGCAGGGGGGGGTGTGTATAAATGCTATCATTTTATAAATAACCAAAAGGACACAGATTTATATGCACATGTATGCTATGCATGCATGGAATATTTTGGAAAGTTAAACCAGACATTTGTAACTGCATTTGTTCTTGAGGAAAGAACTATGAGACTGAATATGGGGATGGAGGGAAGGCTTGCTTTTCACTGTGCACTCCACTGCATTGCTTGAATATATTTTGTCATGTGAGAGAGAATCTATGAGCTAGTTTTCACCTTTTTCCAACTTAACCTCCTAGTGCATTTCATTTTTCATGTTCCCAGAACACTTAGTAGGCTCATATAGAGTGTGGTGTGTGTGTGTGTGTGTGTGTGTGTGTGTGTGTGTGTGTGTGTGTTTACTTTCACAGTGGATCTCATGTTTTTTGCCTATAGAAACCCAGCTCCCCAATAGCTCTTCTGTGCAACCTCCTGGTCTTCAGTGTTGGAACCAACCTCTTCCCTCTTCCCTTAGAAACCCCTTGTTCATCCTGCTTTGAATTATAGTTATCTTTATAAGTTGGTTATCCTGACTAAATTAACCCCTAAAGGGAAGCATGCATCTTATTGGTCTCTATAGTCCCCAAAGAATCTGGAGCAGATTGTTGCTGAATGCATATCATTAACTGAAAACTTGGAAGTGGGATGCTCACCTAGGAAAACCCAAGTTTTCTATGAAGACTGTATATCAAATAATATATTACTGTATATCAAATCCCTTAAAGGGGATGGATGAATGTGAATTGAAATAGGAACTGCTCTTTAAATATATTAAAAGTAAGAAAAGACCAGGAAATGACTTCAGTTAAAATACAGTAAAGATAACTGTATATGTATGTGTGTGTGTGTGTGTGTGTGTGTGTGTGTGTGTGTATTGTATTTCAGCCCCCCCCAAAAATCTGGTCACAATATAGGCAACTACTAATACTGTCCTGAGCAGGATGCTTCTCAGATGAGACTAGCCACCTTCCTTACTCACACCTTGAATACCTACATCAGTACAACTCTTGAGATCACTTATTAATAGCATTTTTAAGCAAAGTATCCTACATCAAACTGGGAATTTTTGCAATTTTATCTGTTTACTTTTTGCTATCATTTGAACCCATTCTCTCTTGTCCTTAGTGATATTAGAGGCTCAGGGATAATATTACTCCATACTTTTAACTTTTACATATTCTAAAGTATTTCATAGTAACTAACTATATCCCACCTTCGGTAAATAATAGAATCAAATTTTTTTTTCATGATTCTAACACATGGCTATTCTGTTTGAGTCAAGTAAATAGGTACACTGATATCAAGCCTGATACATTTTGGGATAGCCTTACAATAGCACATACTATAATAAAATAGCAATTAAAATGGCGATAATTAAAAGTTCACTTTAACTTACTGTCATTGCAGTATTCTGTTCCTCGGCAGCCAGGTGTGCTAAGCCCAAGTAATACAAAGCTTCTCCTTCCATCTTTTTGTTATTTGCTAAAATACAGATGTAGAAATATTACTGTGGTATTAAAGAAATTGATTTATCACAACTACCAGCAGTAAGTTGCTATTTTAAAAAGTATACAGATTTATCAATGATCCCCAAAGCCTAGCTGTGCACTGAATAAAACAAAGACCAATGTAAACATAAGTTACTGGATCCCAGGTGTTAGAGTAAGGTTCATGAGATATTTAATGATGAGGGGTTTCCCTCTATCTACCCACCATTATACCATTTTATTTATTTGTTCATTTGTTTATTTATTGATACCCTGGGAATTGAACCCAGGGGCATTTAACCACTGAGTTACATCCTCAGCCCTTTTTAATTTTTTTTTTTTATTTAGAGACAAGGTCTCACTAAGTTGCCTAGGGCCTTGTTAAATTGCTAAGGTTGGCTTTGAACTTGTGATCCTCCTGTAATCCACTCAGTCTGGTTTCAGTACGTAATTTTGATGGGCAGGTGTACCCTTTCTATCAGCCTACCATTGTCCAGCATCTGTAATGACCGGTGAGGGTACCAGCCGTTAACTGCCGTACCTTCACTCACCACATGACTGACATTCAGCTAAGTTTCCAACAGAGCAGATGAGTAGCCAAATAAGAGATGGTTATTCTGGTTATGTTCAATTCAAAAGCTAGTTATTGGTTACACCTTGAGAGAGAATGACAGAGCTTGACTTCTTGGTACAAAATTCCATTCACATTTGAAATCTAAACATGTTCTTTCTTCTCTGCTCACCACTGGTAAAGCTTTTCATCATCTTTTTACAAGGAGTTAAGCCTTTCTAATTCTTGGGAGATAAATTTTATTCCAGGAATTACCCATTTTTTCTTTCCAAAAGCAAAATGTATAAAGGTGCAACATATGGTTTAAAAAGACATTCATCATACCATTTGGTAAATCTATAGCTTATTCACCTTTAGTATATTAATGTAACATATATATTTTATATATTTTAAAGAACTATTTAAAGTTCTTATTTTAATATTAATACTTTCCTTTTTTCTCCTTTTGGAACTCATTAGCTTCTTCTGTCTAAAACCTGGGTAATGCTAATGCTGACAGATCCACATGTGGTTTTGTTCTTGGGAGAGTACATTTCTGAACCCTGTTTTCCAAACATGAAGTATTTCATGAATTAGCAATCCTCCAGGCAGCAGTTGATCTCACCACTCACTGAATGACCACTCATGAAGCAGTGGCTCATTGGAAGACATTAAGAAAAAAAGGCTAGCTGGCATGATGACATACACCTGTAATCCCAGTGGCTTGGGAGGCTGAGGTGGGAGGACCACAAGTTTGAGGCCAGCCTCAGCAACTTAGCAAGGCCCTGAGCAACTTAGTGAGACCCTGTCTCAAGATTAAAAAATAAATTAAAAGGGCTGGGGATGTGGCTCAGTGGTTAAGTGCCTCTGGGTTTATACCCAGTATGAAAAAAAAAAAAAAAAAAGAAAAAGAAAGAAAAGAGGATATCTGCTGGGTGTGGTGGTGCGCATTGAAGGGCTGAGGCAGGAGGAGCACAAACTCAAAGCCAGCCTCAGCAACTTACTGAGACCATATCTCAAAACTAAAAATAAAAAAGGAAGCTCCCCTGGGTTTAATCCCCAGCACCACACACACACACACACACACACACACACACACACACACACAAATTATTACAGCATAAGAAGTACGTTTTCTTCTGCTCCCCTTCTCTGTCCTTTGGAAAGTGAGAGATGCTTTCAGAAAGGAGCCTTATTGGCAGGGCTCTCACCATTAGCAGAGGCCCCAGTCACCTTCCTTTCTCTTATAACTCAGCAAATGTGAACCTAAAGTAAAATATAGGTGCCTTACTAATATACATGCCTTTGCATTGAAGTTCTCTTCGATTTCATGCAACAAAAGTCGGTTGCTGAAATTGATCTAAGAGCTAATGATTTATGTCAGTGTTCACCCCCTTGGAGAAGGTGCTAGGTCATCATCTATTCAAAAGTTGTTCATTTAGTGGGATGTCTTTCAACGATGGTGATTTCCTGTGACTATTTCAGTTAATTCTATTTTAAAAAAGTAACTGAAAGAATAAGCTGCTCACTTTCACTTGTAGGTAAATTAAAAACCATACCCCCCCAAATTAGTTCTGTTTACTTCAAATAAGCCACCTGTTACTTAAATCAATTAAATATATCCAGGAGCTTATGAATTTTAGTTTAAGGGCAGCATTTTTTCTCCTTCATGAAAATGCTAGACTATTGGTAAATTCCTATATGGCAACAAAATATCCTTGTATTTCACAAATTAAAAGCTTATAAGGATATGCTCCAAAATTTCCCCTTATATTATATACAGTCATAAATGATATAGAACATGAAGGATGTGAGCAACTCTCACAAAAGCACTTTTCCTGTTGTAAATGCATATTCATATTCACCTGGGGATCTTGCAGGCAGCCTGGGCTGGGACCTAAGATGCTGCTTTCATATCCTGCCTCCTGGTGATGCTGATGTTTCAGAGGCCACACTTTGAGAGCCAATTGTCCAAAATATATTGAAGTCCTATTTTCCTGTTATCCCTAACTAAATATTCATCATAATTTCCAAGTTATCTGACTATATGTAGGAAATTTAGAAACAATGAAAGTTCTCTCAGATTGCTAGAAATATACAACTTTTAACACACACACACACACACACACACACATACACCCTTAACTTTTGCAGGTGACCTTTTCTTCTCATTGTGGGTTCCTTGTTTTACAAGGCTATCCACAGTGGGTTGTAATTTTGGAGATAAAGCTTTCAAGGAACTAATGGATTTCTTGTTGTCAGCACTAAGCCACCTCTGTTTTACAGTGAAATTTGAAAGTATATTGATGGCATTTGTCTTTGCATTTCATAGGAAATAATCACCCTAACACTTGAAGGGTTTCACTTCACTCTTGGGAGAACCAGTGTCTGTCCATTAAAGAAAGCAATGTGAGAGGGTTCTTTCCCACCCACCTTCTTTGGCTATTTCAGAAGCTTTTATTAGAATTTTGATGGCCTGTTTGTATTCTTTATTCTCCAGCATTTTGTCTGAGAGTAATCTGTAGGTCCTCAGGAGACTTTCGCAGGCCCACATGTTGAGAGAGCGCTCTGTCTCATCCTTCCATATCCGCCCCTGCGTCAATTGATGGAAAGCCTCATAATGCTCAGCGGCTTCCAGAAGCTGACCTGAAGAATAAAAGCCATTCATAAATACAAACCACGGGCCAGAACATGTTCTCAGAAATTTTGAGTCTATCTTAGCTTTACTAGCATGGAATATAGGGAAGAATTTGATCTYGGAGGCAGAAAAGGAGTTAGAGGGGCTGTTACTAACTGGATCTCAGATTCAGCAGGAATTCTGGCTTGACACCTGCAAGAGGGACGTACTTCAGCTAGTGGGGCCGGACTGGGACTGCACATGCTGAGAGACAGAGTGGAAGTCCAGCAGCAATCATGAATCCCGATCATATCATCTGACATTTACAGAGCACCTTGATTACAAGGAACTGTGCTATGTACTTTAGATGCAGGTCCCATTTAATCCTCAAAGCAATTCTGTGGAGTGGGACTGTTAGGATTCCATTTTACAGAAGAGAAAACTGAGGCCAGGTGAGGTAGTGGGYGGTAGGTCCAGAAAGTTTTGTTCAGAGTTCCTGCTCTCACCCAGTATTCTCTGTCGCTTTCCYAGGAGATGGCAATTTCTTCATTCTTGGGAAGGATTTAGATATCTTGAGAAAGGGTACATCTGGTACATATTTCAATTTATGGATCTTTAAGCTGTCTCTCAAAGTTTGAGGGAGGCATTTGTTTAATTTGAAAGCTAAACTGTTTACTTTTGAATAATTAGCATGTAGTTTAATTGTCTTTCTGGATGGTATACCCCATAATACGATCCAAAATGTATCTCCTCAAAGCCAAAACTCTAAATTAGCCTTAAATTATTTTATTCCTTCAAACAKGAGTTAACGTTTCTAGAAGAGGAGCTTGCAGTTCCCTGCTATACGTTGTAATTTACTTGTTAATCACCTTGTGCAAATGCTCACCACACAGTGTAATGTAAATGGTCTTTGATGGTATTGAAATGACATCACTGAGCTTAATGAAAAGAGGTTTCTACCTAGGCCCTTACTGCAGCAGAAGAGCGAGTGCAGGCTACGGGCAGACAGCCTGTTCTTATCCCAGCTTTYCTACTTTTTGCTTAGCCTCGGGCTAATCCCTGCCCTCTCTGTGCCTTAGCTTATTATTTTGTGAAACAGCTTTAGAGTGAGTACTATTGTGAGAAATGAACAAATGCATGTTCAACGCATTACAGAGTTAGTGCTCAATAAACGCAGCTAGTGTTATCAGTTGGTAATGATAATACTTCCAAAATATCTAACAGCCAATTGAAATATAACCATTAATTTGTTGTATTCTTTAAGTCCAACTTACTCATCCTGAGAAAAACAAGAATTAACTGAGTCCCTATAACCATATGATCCTAACTGAATAAACTCTGCATTACATATTAGGTCAACATACTTACTCAAACATGACTACTGCATATAATTTCTCTGTTTTTYTTTTTTTGCACTGAGTTTGTTATCAAAAGTGGTATTAAGGAATACACACACAAACAGGAATAATAGTCCCAAAGAAAGACAACCAACAGCCATGAATCATCCACAAATGACTGGCAYAAAATGTCAGTAAAGACATGGCCGTGCTGGGTTCTTGCCACACCAGGCAGAGGGAACGTCAGCAGAGAGAGCCAGAGAGGACCATGGGTGTGGCAGGGCTGTTTATAAATGGATTGTGTGAAACTTTCACATGAGACAAGACTACCAAGCCACAAATTTGKCGTTACAAAGAATATTTCATTACATGGGCAGGTGTCTATAAGTGAAAATACCAGAAAATGTCAAAAAACGTTTACAAAGCGTTATTGGCTAGGAAGTAAGATGATGGGTGATAATTGGTTTCTTTTACGATTTCCTTTCTTATTTTTCTTGATTTTTTTTTACCTTTTCTGCTCATTGGCATTTTCTAAAGTTTCTATCATCAAAATGTGTTTATTTTGTAATGAGAGATATAAGTGCAATATAAGTTATTTTAAAAATAACATCCAATTGCTCTTTCACTTTGATTCTAATTTTCAAGGTTCAAGTTCACTCCTCTAATTGATCTCTTCCTCTTTGCTGACAATTTTTTTTTCCTCCTACAAAAGCAGGCATAGTTTTTCATGGCTTTCCTGTAGCACCTCTTGCCAGAAACACCTTCCTCCAAATACCCGTGACCCTCATTTTTTTAAAACTGGAATGGAGCACTGACATAAATGTGTGTTCTGTTTCCTCTGTTAACTATATTTCTGCCTGCAAAGTATAGCTCTACATTCCTGGAAAGATGTAGACAGGACTGCTTCTTCTTTTATTTTTTCCCCAAAGTATCCATCTATTCATAAAGTATAGACACATATGTCTTTTGAGCCATATGAATAGGGAATAGTGAATACCAGAAGCTGAGAAAACTAGATTGTTTCAGAAAAAAAAAAATAGGTACTATAAAAGAGATGAAGTTCCAGGTAACCCAGCTAATTAGAATTAGATGCAAACAAAATATAGCGGTGCAAATAGTAAAYGAGAAATGACAGCCATGTCAAATATTTTATCTACATGGGGGCAGAAGGAGGAGGGGAGGGTTGATGTAGGGAAAGGAGAGGTGGAGGGAATGGGTAGAGAATTCAAGGTGGGTTAGTGTCTGTAAGCCACACTTGCTTTGGGTTGCTGAGTCTTGGGTGGCTAAGTTGCCTGGACAGGCTATCTAGCAGGAATGAAGTAAGGGAGGTTCTGGGGACATTGGTTTCAATGGAAAAATGACCTTCTGATAAATAGATAAGTAGAAATAGTCTTTGTGGTTGAAYTGTATTTTTGCTAGAGCTTTGGGGGCTAGTATCATGCACTACTTTGCTTATGATTATTGTCCATAGTTTGCTCTCAGAGGGTCTACTTGAAGTCCCCATGAGCTTGAGATACTCAAGTAAAAGAGAACAGGAAATTGGCCTTTCCTAAAGGCCTACAAAATGGGAGGTGTCTTCCCCATGAATTATCTTATTTAGCCTTCCCCAAACTGGTGAAGTAGATATGACTATCACTTTTTCACTAGAGAGGAAAGTGCGGTTCACAAAGATTAAATGATTCAGTTATTATAAGCCAGATTTAAAGTAAGTGATGATGAGGATCTAAACCCAAGATTGTTGCAAGCCCACACAACTGGGTCTACCACATCTGATACTGATCGAGAAACCCAGAGACAGGAAGTTAGATGGCCTATTAAATTCTCTGGACATAAATWTCTTGTGTTTAAAGCAATGTTCTAATTGCACGGTTTCTAATCTCTTCCAGTTCTATCATTCTGAAACTCGGGTTGTCACAGGTAACCTCCARTAACAGTACAGAGAGGAGCCTCTGATGTGCTTCTGACTTTGTGAGGAATGTGTTGTATAACTAACCAACTACATTCAAATTCTTTGCTTTCCCCTAAGCCATATGGTGACCTGTGTGGGGACACCTGGTTTTCCTTGGGTGTTCCAGGCTTGGTCAGCTGAGGCCTCATCCAGCTATTGATGACTTGGCCTCCCTTCTTATACCACTGTGCCACAAATGAGGCTACTGGGGTTCTGGCCAGTGCTGTTTAAAATGAAAGTTCCTACACAGAAGTCTCATTTTCAGTCCTTCTCCTCTGTAGGAATTTGTTTGTAAAATTATTTGGTGGCAGCAAATAAGCCAACAAGGAATTGATCCAAATGACCATAAGCACACAAATAACTTGGCTACTTTTATTTTTTGCAGGGGATGGAGGTGCTGGGGATTGAACTCAGAGGCACTCCACCACTGAGCCACACCCCCAGCCCTATTTTGTATTCTATTTAGAGACAGGGTCTCCCTGAGTTGCTTAGTGCCTCACTTTTGCTGAGGCTGGCTTTGAACTCTTGATGCTCCTGCTTCAGCTTCCAGAGCCSCTGGTATTACAGGCATGTACCACGGAGCCTGGCTACTTGGCTACTCTTCCTAAAAGCTGGTCAGAATTTGAAAGCACAAACGTAGCATAATATTCGATTTAAAAATGTTTAAAAAATAGGTTCATGCAATGAAGGCAGCATAGTAACTTAAACAAGCAAGCATTTCCTTTAAGGATGACTATCCAATCTTTAAGGAGATTTCTATCAAATCTTTCTCTCCAAATTTGATTTGGACCTTAACAACGATCCTACTTTCTGAATACATTTCTGATTAATTGACCACACAGCTATTGAGACAAAATGCATTTTGCTTTATCTGAAATTTTTGAATTTAATATTCCTGAGAGATTGTAAAATTGACAAAGGTAAATATAAATACCAATGAAAATAACAAATCAGATTTTCAAGTTGGGTTTATAGCATCCCTTTGTAACTTCCTCAAAGAGTTTATAGCCTACCCTTTGTCACCAAATAATAAGCTTCAATATATCAGAMGCTGCTGAGATTTCTAGATCCCTCTATCAGTCTTTTAGTGGACAAGAACACGTGTTTAGGCCAAGGGTCCAAGGACTGTGCTCTTCTGGAATTCTCAAGTGTGAACATGGCTTCCCGTGAAGAAGAAGGGCAGAGGGAGGWGCTTATATGCACATCACACAAAAAGGCATTAACAGAAAAGAGCATGGAAAAGAGGAGGCCAGAGGAAGGTCTCCCCAGGGGAAGCCTGGTCATGTGGCACTGGGAATCACCACCACGAGTAAGAAGTGTCGCCACAGTGGCCACCATGGCTGGACACACCAACTCTTGCCAACTAGGTGCCTGGAACATGGTTCTACACCAAGCATAATTCCAGGTGGCCCCACTAATATTTCGTGTGAACCAGGAGAGAACACAGAGCTGAAGTGTTTCATTGGAAGGACTAAAGATGACCCTCTGTGGATACACTCAGTAGTCAGTTTATTGCAATCATGTGAAAAAGTGCCAGAAAACACAACTCAGGAGAATGCTGTGAACAACTGCGTAACACCAGAGTACCCAGGTAAGAGCAGAGGTGGGCCACGCCTCCGTTTTACTTTATTTTATATTTTTAAACAGAATTCTATAACATCTACATAAACAGTAAGGAGTTTTGGCATGCATTTCAAGTTATTCACCCAAAGGAAAGTGCACTCTTAAAATGAAAGTACTTCAA